TTGCAATTCAAACAACACCATTACGCACGTAATCTTGGTTAACCTATTCCTCTGTTAATTTTCTTTTCTGGTCTTAATTTTAGATTTTTTTTTTTTGGATTAGAGAGAAATTAAACTCCACTTTTGGAGTGAAATTTGCAAGTCTGACGACTCATATAAAACGGCTTTGAGGTCGAAATTCTTACCGAATTTACCTTACCAAAACGGAATGACAAATATTTCACTGGGGAAAAACCTACAATAGCTCGACCATATTGATTGGTGTTGCCTTTGATGCCTTCTCTTCATAAACTTTACCTTCTTGTATTCACGAACAAATATAAAATTCCACCATCTTTTGGCCTATTTCAGTACGAAAGATATTATTATTATACTCTACACTTCAACGGCAAACTACAGACTCTCCAGAGAAGTGCATAGCTGGTGGCGGGGAGGCTGCTTTGCTCACTTTTTTTTTTTAAAAAAAAAAATTTATTCCTTCGTAGATTGATTTCTTTTGTTTTTCTGTCCAATAATAGAATCCAGATTCAACTCCCAACTCCTGAATCATTAATATAACATTAATATATAGTATTTAACTCTTTAATAATGGTGGCCAGAGAAACCTCCCCTAGACAATTTTGTCCACACAAGAGACAAACACGTATCAACAAAATAATAAAGCAGGAAATAAAATATAATTTTATTTAGTAATAAAGAATAGGCCGCACGAGAGGTTTGAAAAGGCAACATTAATTGCATGGTAAGTCCCGCGACGCATGGATTGCTTTCTAATTAGAGGATCAGAGACTTACGGTAATAATTAATGCTTCCAACAGCTGAATGAGATATTTCAATATCTAACATTATATATATGGGGATGTGCTGTTAAGGTCAATCTCTGCATCGAAAAATGGATCTACAGTAATGTTTCCTATTTTATCCGTATCCGTGAAAAGAAATTTTATGAACACGTCCATATTTCATTCAACCTACCGTGTATATAAACACATTAATAATTTTTATATATTTTTTTAAATCAATTTTACATTTCTAAAAATATAATACTCGAAATATATATTAAGTACGAGAGCCTTATGGACAACCGTTAAACAGACCGAAAAAAGAATTGGATTTTTCTAGCAGGTAGGCTTGGTTGTAGAAATGGGCGAACCTATCCTCAAGGAATGTTAGCAAATACAGAAATTTATACTAGGGCTTCTTTAGAGCTGATTTTGTACCTACTGCAACATTGGTGCTTTCTGCCAAAGATGTTACAGCTAAGTCAACTTCTATGACAATAGTAGTGGCATTATTTCTCATATACTATCTCTCAAAGAATTCAATACCATTTCGTTTCATCCTCATGAGTATCTAATAGATAAATGCTCTTAATTAAATCATCACATCACAAAGTTCAGAAGTATTATTGTCTTTTTCAGCGCAGAAATTGGTAAATCTAAAATGTTATGTTTATAATAATAATAAAAAATTAACAAGTTAATTTAGTTCGTAATGCACCCTCAAGTCTAATGATTGCGCTTAAATGTATACTGTAGTTTCATTTATTAATTTGTTTTCGCTTTATGTACTTTTGTAACTGTTGTATTGCTTTCTACTTTGGAAAGCTTTTAGTACAAAAGTTTAGAGACTAAATATTTTTTAGTAAAAAACTTTAGGGATTAGATAAGTGACTTTTTTATCTCTTCATCAAATGTTGAAAAAGGACAAAGAGTTCAAGCAAGTTTATAAAGAAAACTAAAAGATAAAAAAGAGAGAGGAAAGAATAGGATATTATCATCCATTTTTGCAAAATAATCATACAAAACATGTAGTAATACCAAATGGAGCTGGAAAGTACCAATAGCTTCCTAAGTCCATCCGGTGTCAGAGTTTCAAGAATGTATAATTGTAAATTTATTTCTTTAGTACCGTCACCGAAGCTTTACTTTTTTGGTCGATTGATATATATGTTAGGAGCAATAAATTAATGGAATTTATTAAGAAGTATATATTAGGACCTCAGTAGCTGGTGTAGTGTATCGTATGAACTCCTACGAAGTTGCTTAGGAACTTAAAACTAACTAAGATCAGTAGCAGCCCCCCATGCAAATGAATCAATGACATAAAAGGGGAACAAATTTATAACTTGAATTCCAGTATGAAATATATGCACAAACTGCAGGAAGAAGCTTTTCCTTTTTCTCTTGGTTCTTTGTTTTTGTCTTTGTTCTCCTCAAACCAATGCACCTGCTGTCAGAACTCAGAATCGTGGAAAGCTGATGGATCATATGGCGTGAACTTGTGAACGAAGATGAATCCCCCCTTTCATAACTCACAGTTTTTTGTATGAGTGTTTCGATAAATGGACTCTGCGAAGACACTTCAAAAGCCGGCAACTTTTGAAGTGCTCCGCAGCACTTAACTACTAAACCCCCCAAACCCCCCCAAGCGATGTGAGAACTTAACCCCACAGGGTGCCCCGCTGCTAAGAGATAAAGACCCCCCAGACTCCCCGAGACAGGTTTTTCCCTTTCATAACTCACAGTTTTTTGTATGAGTGTTTCGATAAATGGACTCTGCGAAGACACTTCAAAAGCCGGCAACTTTTGAAGTGCTCCGCAGCACTTAACTACTAAACCCCCCAAACCCCCCCAAGCGATGTGGGAACTTAACCCCACAGGGTGGAACGAAGATGAATCAATTCCCAATTTTTTGCTCCTTCTTCAAAAGTCAAAATCATCTAATAAATACTTGATGGAGTAGAAATCTAGAAAAAGCACCCACCATAGCATATGCTTAGGTAGACTTGATGGACTTGCATGTCCTGCGACGACTCTGTCTGATTACTCCACAAAATATGAAAAAACTAGTCAATATACAAATATGTTTCGTTTCTAATTAATTCTCTACAAACTTTACTTTAAAAAATGGCATGATCATTGATCACATCATAATATATTATCTTTTGTTACACCCTTAATTTCTTGCAAATAAAAATAATTTCTTTTAGGCCTACAACAATTTTCTTGGTTAAAAAGAAAATATTCGGTGTTTGGGCTTTGGACCCCAACCCTTTAGGGTTTAGGCTCGTAGCACAAGATGCCCTACATTTCTGGTGCATTGCTTGGTGTCGTCTGTAGCATCTCGAACCTGATGCTTCTCTTCTCGTGGAGTTCAGTATCAGGTACTTTCACTTTGGTTTCTACTACTCGACTCGACTGTTTATGATCAAGACTGAAGAGGAAATTATTATAAAATGCGTGGGAGTTCTTTCTTTAATGTTTTTTGATTGCACCAAAGTACTTGTAGTTCTATGCAGTTCCAGGTTGTCTTTACGAAACACGACTATTGGTTGGGACTTCTTATTTGGGTTGTTAGGATGTGATGCACACCGACCTGTACCTGTTTCATAAAAACTATGCATTTCTCTTTAAAGTTGCACCCATTTGCCTTTCACTCTTCTCGGTGCTATGCTCACATGCAAAAAAGGTACCTCTGCATTTCGCTGGTAGACTTTACCATCCCCATCAATTATTGCTTGTCTGAGCTAAAAAAAAAAAAAAAAAATAGACGTGCCAATGTAACATTTTCCAGTCCTCAACTCAAGATTTCGATTATTTTGAAGGATCCTATGCTTGCATGGCTAAAGTCAGACCAATTAAAGGTCCTCCAATCTCCTTCCCAAGAAAAAAGAAAGAACCTATCCAGATTACGACCGTATGCAGTAATCTTGATGAATGCATTCCTTATCCAGACCCACTTGGAAATTGATCGTAATCGTGCATCGTAGACATAACAGAACTTAGTAGCAAGTCCACAGAACCCGTTTGGATTGCAATTTTCCTCAGAAAAATTACTGCGTCTTCCGTAAACACATTTTCCTATCATCTTTTTATCTCACATTTATTAAATCGTCACAGTATTTTTTCTAAAAAAAATTCAAAAAAATGCAATCCAAACAGTTTTTCTAATCATTGTAGAACGTTTTCTAGTGTTGCAAATCCATATATGATAGTAGACTTGTGAATGAATTTGCCTCCTTATTTGAAGAGCTTGCCGATAATTTCATGTAATTAATTCATCAAGGTATCGGTTTGATTACATCTGCCAGGCTTGTTTTTTCAACTGCCTGATTTACTGTGGTCTTTGAATAACGGCAGAAAGTTAAATCTACAAAATTAAAGAGAAATGGGTCTCTTTCAGCAATAGTAAGTATGGTAAGGGTATTGAGTACAACGAGCAGTCTGAACTAGTACGTGAGAAACACGTTTCCATAAAACGCTTTTACTAATTCCTACGGTAGGCTTTGTACCTGTATTCATCCAACTGACAGATGTTCCTTCACAAGCCACCTTCCCTATCTTTTAATCTATTTTGGAGCCCTAAGGAAGAATCATGAAATCTTTGTTCTCTTTTCATTCTATTCTTTTCTAAAAATAATTAGTCGTGATTGCCGCCTGGTGGTGGGGTTGCTGATAAAAGTACTCTAATTATTAATATACACAAATTAGCTTTTTACTAGAGTTCCATTTTTCTTACCTTTTAATTACTTCTTCCGCTAATCAAGGTATCCACCAGACAGAAAAAAAAAATAGAAAAGAAAAGAAAAGGTATCCACCTGAACACCCTAACTGATATCTAACTGTTGTACTGATTTGTTTCTGCCGAAGATGGAAATGGAATGAAGAATTCCACTAATCGTTACATCCAATGTCAAATTCAAACATCCAATGTCAAAGGAGTGCTATGCTTAGGTATAAATTGTGGAGAAATTACCTTGATCAATGAGTCAGACAGGAGAGATGCCGAGACGGAGAATCGAGCGATCATATACTACGTCATAAGAATAAGATGCATCTTATGGATAAAGATACAAAAAGGGGAGGTTTTTTACATTTTCTACAGAAATACAGTAGTGATACACACCTCTTTTCCTCTTAACTAGCAATAGACAAGTACGCGTCGAAAGTTTTTTTTTTTTTGACCTCACAGGCGTTTCTCTTAATTTTTTTTTTTAACTTAGGCACGAAACTCGAACCGAACAAACAAATGTGATTATTGGAATATCCCATGTATAGTCCACTTTGGATAACCTTTCTGGAAAAGAGCCTACTCCTTTTGGTATTCAACCCCATCCACATTTCCTTAAAATAATAATACTAATAATTTTAAAAAAAAACCACCTACATCATCCATAACAGGTAAGAGAATGAAGGGACCCACACAAGTCACAAATGCGGGCATTTACTTCGATCGCCTATATGTTACTAACCATGCACCATGTTACCAAACAGCTTGTCCCATCAAATAGAAATAGAATAGTCTGGAGAATAAGCTGAACTTAGAGCCAAGTTTTTTTTTTTTTTTTTAAATAATAAGCTGAGAATGTTTTGGCTTCAACAAATTTTAGCAATTGACTTTTTGTGACCAAAATACTAAGTGGTGATTTACTCCCTATCTAACTTCGCATGACAATTTGAACCCTTTCTTCCACCTAAACCCTAAGATGCAGCATCAGTAAATACAGATCCTTGTTGACCCTGGTGCTTCCACTGCCAAAATTTACCCCATCCTCTCATGCTTATGAAATTAAGACGGACGATCATATCAAATTAGGACAGACAATAATCAATCATGTTAGGTTATACGATACATAAAACTTTTTTAACTAGGATTGTAGGGCTTTACCCCGAAGGGAGCCCTTCCAGAAATTCTCAATGCCCTAGGCCAAGCCCAGGTCAAAGAGGGGGTTTGGAAATAGTTTTCAACCAGCAATAGACGCGCCTCGGTTAGAACCTCACTAGCTGCGTCATTGCCCCAAGCGCAAAGATAGAAAGTACCGAGTCCCCAGGCGGCCTTTTATACTGCACTGCTCTCTTGGGTCTCCCATACCAAGTCGATGTGGGATGTAAGACAAATCCTACAAATAGACGTAATCGAGGCAAGACACACCAATCAATCCCACTTGAGGCTTCTAAATCAGAGACTTCTAAATTTTAAGTTCAGCTTATTATTTAAAGCAACCATCAGTTCTCCAGCAAAATCCTTCAATGAAGTTACCGACAAGAAGCAGGCTGCACTCTAACATTAAGGGCGCCAGTGACTTCGCAGTCTAGATACTATATTGAGAACAAGATTGCATCCAGCGCTCATAGATAAGGATAGTTTCACTAGCTTCCTATTCCAAAATGCCATCAGATTCACTGATAATATCTAGAAACCCCCAGTAAGGAGTAAAGTTTGATGATAAGCTTAGCAGTTGAATTTCTTGTGATCCTTTTAGATCGCAGTACACTAGAACGCTGTTTAGATCATACACCAATATTACGAAACCAAGAGTGGGCTGTTCAGCCTTCACATTATAACCAGACATCAAGCAAAGAAGTGCAACAAAAGCTAACAGAAAGAGATGGACTCTCGCTGAAGATTAAAAATGGGTGCAGAACTTGGTATTTCACTGTCCTCCGAAGAAAATGGAGAAGGATATCTTAACAGTCACTGCAAGATGTATATATAAGAGCCCCAAGCAGAAATCTTTTTAGGGCCACGAATGGCAAATACAGCACAATATCTAGAAGAAATCTGAACCTAAAATGAAAGCAAAGGAGACATCAGTTGATGGTTTTAATTAACAGTTTAATATCTTCTGATTGCATTTGATGATTGAAATGTAGAATGTTATTCAGATAAAAAAGAAACAAAAAAACAAGTCAAAACTAGGCTGTTGACATTATAAGGGACAAGCGTCCTTGAGAAGAAAGCAACGAAAAGGAACGGTGAACAATTGGATGTTGCTTGAACATTAGAAGGGTGCATAACCTGGCAGTTCATCCTTTCAAAGAAGCAAAAAGATACTCTGTGATATACCTACTTAAGCTTGAGCACCAAATTCCAACAATAATGTGTGATTAACCTTGTCAGATGCTGGGCCAACAAATTGAATTGGACCTGATACCAAGTAAAAAATAAAAAAAAAATAAAAATTAAGCGATTAACAGCGAAAAAGCAAAAATAAACAAAAACAGGTATTAAGTTCTCCTAGGTAATAAGCCAGATTAGAGGAAAATAGAAGCTAGCATCTCTTCAGTGGCAAATGATATAACTAGACTAAGCACATTGAGATTAACTTAAAAACTATCTTCAATAACAGAACACAGGATGATATCTTAATCATACCAGGAGAAATGTATCGGTTGTTGAGAGCCCACTCTTCTCTCAGTGAAGCAAATTGTTTGAATGGTGCACCTGAAATATCCGCGATCAGAAATTAGTTTACTGTTACAGGTCAGAAAAGAAAGTAAAACTGAATGAAAATCACATAAGTTCATTGTTCATGCATTTTGCAACAAGAACCACCACATTTGTTGTAGAACATTGCCAGCATGATGGACTAATGAACCACAAGAGGGAAAAAGAAAAACGCTTGTATGTGAAGATTTTCATACCTTCAAGTTCCACCATGGCTTTTTTAATCACTGGCTTGAACTTACCTAAACAGAAGTAGAAGTAAAATATAAAATGTAATGCTTTATATTTTGGCAGAGTCAACAAGGTTAAAAAAGCAAAAGCTCCTATTGCAGGCCAAATTTCTTAGTAGAATGATGTTCTGTGACACGAGCTGTCAGACAACTTATAAATGGCTGTTGATTAGTATACCATGTCGCCTCTCAACATCCATTAATGAAGTCAATGCCGTTCCTCCAACAGTCCATTCTTCAACTGGAGCGGCCAAGTTCCCAACCTAGAAGAACAACCAACCACTGATACATGAAAGTCTGTTCAAGGGTAAATAAAAAGTTCTGAACACCAGTAGGAAACAAACTTGTAAGAAGACTATTGTGAGGAAATCCAGCCAGAACGGAGCTAAACATGCTTAATGATACAAATAGTAGTAAAAGAAATTGGGCAACAGAGTCCAGAAATACGTACTGATGAAATTAATCCCGTTTTCCCACTTTGAAGCAGTGCTCCAGCACCATAACCCAGTGCATAGCAGTATGTAGAGTCAAAGTTAGAAGGCAAACCGCACCTTCCTTCGTATCTATGATGTGGAAAAACGGAACAGAAAGCCAACAATTTAGAAATGTCAAAACTTGCTAAGACAAGGTGATATTCATGGTAAAAATCGACACAACTCAAAGAGCAAAACACCTTAAATAAAAAAAAAGAAGAAGAAGAAGAAAGTTGAGACATCAACATATAAAAAGCTGACAATTACCCGAAAAAATGAGATTGTCCTTTAAATTGACCCTTGTAAGCACCAGCCTGCTTCCTGTTCTCCAACTCAGTTTCAACCATTTGAATGAACATTTTCTCTGTTTCGATTTTCGCAACCTGCATCCATGTAACAACCATAACTAAGATGCCCATCGTAACATAGATATACGGATTGACATACTGCAGCAGTGAACCCTATCAGCACCTGGACGTTTCCATGTGGATCTCTCTCAAGCATCAGTTGTTCCTGAATTGCTGCAGGCAAAAGCTCAAAGAGCTCCAGGGACTGAGGCTGGAGTTTCTGTTTCCAAAGACCAGCTTCATCAACTTCGTCATGAGCCAAAATCTCATTAAGCTCTGCAATGAGCAGCTGGACCTGAAATTTGCAAGCAAAGAATCAGCCAATCCAAGGCCAAGCAAGAGAAAAAACTAAAGTGCAGATGGCAAGCAAAGAATCAGCCAATCAAAGGCCAAGCTGATAGGCTAAGGAAGAGAAAAACTGAAGTGCAGAAGGAAGAGCAATGTTACAAAAAAGACTTTCAATAGCTTGTGATCACCAACTAAAGAACAAACAATCAAAATAGCACAAGTGATGATTTTACCTCAGGAATGAAATCTATAAGCCCTTCTGGGATGAGAATCACGCCATAATTGTACCCAAATTCTGCGCGTTTTGTTATTATATCTACAATGTAGTCGGTCACATTCTTAAGCGTCTGTTTCTTCGCTGCAACCTGCATAATAGAACTTTTTCAACAAGTGCTACAAGCTTCTAACTTGAGAAAGAAATGGCAGAATAAACTGGATAGGAACATATAATTCGATCTTTAAATCACACTAAGGCTCAAGCTTTTAGGATTATTATTTACCATACTAAGAGAAGATTCATTAGACATTCACCCCCTCACAATATGATAGATATGCAGTGCATTAAAACGAGTATGGTGATCCAGGAAATTCAAGATAAAGCTAGGTTAAGTAAGAAGTACCTCTTCTCCAATAAGAGTAATGTTAGGATGGGTTTGCAGAGCACACTCCAAAGTGATGTGGGAAGCAGCACGCCCCATAAGACGTACAACTGCAAAAGGTATAAAGTCAACAACACGTATAAGACAAAATAATAGAGAAATACAAAAGCTTATGCATAGGCTGAAAAGAGAATGCACAGCCATGAACTGTATATCAGATATTACCATTAAATACTTATATGTAATAGCCTGATCAAAAAACATATTTAGGACAAGAAAAATATGGACATAGACAATATCAGCCAGAATGAAAAGGTTCTAGTATTTAGTGTTATGTGATCATCTGGAACAAATACACAAGCAAACCCACACACAATCCAAGACACAATTCAAGTAACACCTGAATTTATGCTATTTTAAATAACTGAGCAGCGGTTGGAAAATACACAAGAAATTAAAAGCATTAAAAGACATCCAACAACCCAGGATGACAAGGTCAGAGGCAGGAGATAAGACAAAGTAAAAGAAGATTTACAGGAGTGGAAGCACATGAAGATGGACAAAACAAATTATGCAAGAAACCATATACTGGCACCATGCTGGCAATTCATTATTTTCCCTTCCCAGATTCCTAAAAGAGTTTTTCCAGCCAAAGTCAAAGTTGCATATACTACATACAAATCGTAAAGCAGAATATGCTTTTGATAAAAATGCTGAGTGTAATTGACATTAGGGACAGGCTTCTATTTCTGCTTCAGGCTAAAGGAATTTGCAGACAATTCTTTTGAAGATCAGATTACTTAAGTGGTCATGACCAAGCAACAAGCTAAAGTTCTATATCGGCCAATAATGGAAATATTAAACGCAAATATGGATTGAGCATGCTACAGTGCTTCCTATTTCATAATATCCATAAAAGTAAAAAAAAAAATGTCATAGAATGAATGTTTAGGCCTACATCACTCACAATGATAATATTTTCCAGTTGAGCGAGCATCTACCATGACATTTCCAATCATTTCAGCATATATCTGCATTTACAATACATATTTAAACCAATCATCAGCAGTTGAGAAATAATCACAATCTTGACTGACAAGGAGAGTAACCAGAACAATAGATACAGTGCCTAAGACATGACAGATTTTGCATGCAACCTGACGTCCATTACCAGATAGCATATCAAGCTAAAATCAAATTATAACTACATGAAAAATAAAAAATTCATCGAAGATGATTTCAGTTTCATAATTGACAAAGACTTTGATGCATAAAAATGTAAAAGATTTAATATTGAAGATCAGATTTAATATTACCTTGCAGGCAGTATCAAATCCAAAACTTGCTGGAACCTCCTTGCATTTCAAGTCACCATCAATTGTTTTTGGACATCCAATCACCTGAGTCTTCATGTTTTTACTCCTGAAGTATTGGAAAAAGTTAAACAAGCTATATCAAAATTTTGCAACAATTTCTAATCACTACAGAGTGATGGCTAGTATCAAGAAAACTAAGCATCCCGAATGGATTTCAGAATAAAAGACTATCATGGCCAATTAAAAGCAATTTACCTGAAGTTCTCAGCAAGGAGACATGCATTTGTATTTGAATCATCACCACCGATCACAACAAGCCCATCCAAATCAAGTTTCAATGCAGTTTCTTCAGCTTGCTTAAACTGAAATCGAGTTTCATATGTAACCTCTTCATCAGTCTAAACCTCGACACCTCATGGATACAAATGCAGATAGTTTAATGGAGAACCGAGTCAATACCTGTTCAGGAGTCTCAATCTTGTCTCTACCACTACGGATCATATCAAATCCACCCTGATATGAAAGCATGCAGTTAGTGAAGATTTACTATACTAGCAAATGTACAGCAGAACTGTGTTCTGAGTAAAATGCAGAATGTTTGACCAATTGCAGACATCATTCTCAACTTTCATTTTCGAGTAAAAAAAAATTTCCTAATAGAGTTAGGAACAAAGATCAAGACACAACATCTCACGGATGATGTGAAGGAATGACCACACTATCAACTTAAAGTGGTAACCATATTACTACCATAAGTTAATAAGGATACCTTAAGAGTGCAGGCTCAATCAGAAATTCAGACATCTCGTCTGAAAAGTATAGAGCTCGATTAGAGGGAGAAGGGAATATAAAAACTAAGAGTAAAATCATTCATCATGGAAAAGTGTGGAATGCATTATGCCAGGTCTGGTGCCTTGTATTGTAAAGAAAAAGACAGTGACACAGTAAGGAATCATAGGTTCCAAAATTTGTTGCCTATTCGTATCGACATTTGATGAATAACGTTATGTATATCAGAATATGTTGCATCACTCTGATGTGCGAGAATTAAAATCCTAACATTGTCATTGAACAGAATTTGGTTAACAGAAGTTTAAGCTTACCTGGTTTCTGAATGGGTAGATATATTCTGAATTCAACACTGTGTACTTGCACTTCATAATTCCAGCTGGTCCACCCCTAAACCC